GCATCGTAGTGGCATACATAGTGTGATTAGGCATGGTGAGGCTGCCAGTTTGGACCACAAAGCGGCTGAAAAATATGTGCAGGAATTCAAGGAGTACATAGACAGTGAAGGACTGAAACCTGAACAAGTGTTTGTGACGAAACAGGCCTGTTTTGGAAGAAAATGCCAAGCAGGACATACATTACTCAGGAGGAAAAGGCACTTCCAGGACATAAGCCTATGAAAGACAGGCTTACTCTGTTGATGTGTGCCAATGCTAGTGGTGATTGCAAAGTGAAGCCTTTATTGGTGTATAACTCTGAAACTCCTAGAGTGTTCAGGAAAAACAATGTCCTCAAAGCTAATTTGTGTGTGCTGTGGAGGGCAAACAATAAGGCATGGGTCACTAGGGACTTTTTCTATGACTGGTTACACCATGTATTTGCCCCCACTGTGAAAAATTGGCTCCTGGAAAATAAATTGGACCTTAAGTGCCTCCTGGTATTAGACAATGCTCCTGGTCATCCTTCAGACTTGGCAGAACGACTTTCTGCAGACATGAGCTTCATTAAGGTGAAGTTTTTGCCTCCTAATACCACTCCTCTCCTGCAGCCCGTGGACCAGCAGGTCATTGCAAACTTCAAGAAACTGTACACAAAAGCTATGTTTGAAAGGTGCTTTGTAGTGACCTCAGAAACTCAACTGACTCTAAGAGAGTTTTGGAGAGATCACACTAGCATCCTCAATTGTGTAAACATTATAGGTAAGGCTTGGGAGGAAGTGACTAAGAGGACCTTGAACTCTGCTTGGAAAAAACTGTGGCCAGAATGTGTAGACAAAAGGGATTTTGAAGGGTTTGAGGCTAACCCTGAGAATCCTATGCCAGCTGAGGAATCCATTGTGGCATTGGGGAAATCCTTGGGGTTGGAGGTTAGTGGGGAGGATGTGGAAGAGTTGGTGGAGGAGGACAATGAAAAACTAACCACTGATGAGCTGCTAGATCATCTTCAACAGCAAGAGGCACCCCTGAGGAAACTGCTTCGGAGGAGGGGAAAGAGAAATTGAAGAAGTTGCCTACTTCAAAGATTAAGGAAATGTGTGCAATGTGGCTTAAAATGCAAACCGTTTTTGATGAAAATCACCCTGACAGCTACTGCAAGCCGTGTTGGCAACCTGTACACTGACAATGTTGTGAAACACTAGGAATGTCATAAAGGAACGGGAGGTACAGGCCTCTATGAACAGATATGTTGTGCGACAGAAGTCCAGTGACTCTCAAGCTGGTCCTAGTGACATTAAAAGAAGAAGGGAAGTAACCCCGGAAAAGGACTTGCCACCTCACGTCCTAATGGAAGGGGATTCCCCTTCTAAACACTAACACCATCAACACTCTCCCCTCCTCCCATCCCATCAATCATCACCAGATCTTCAATAAAGGTAAGTGTTATGTAACTGTGCATGTCTTCTTCAGTTTGTATGTATTAAAATTAATATTTCATGTGGTAAAAAATTTTTTTTTTCAATACTTTGGGGTGTCAGGAACGGATTAATTTGATTTCCATTATTTCTTATGGGGAAAATTAACTCGACTAACGATAATTTCGAGTAACGATGAGCTCTCAGGAACGGATTAATATCGTTGGTCGAGGGTCCACTGTAATATAATAGTAATAATAATAATAATATGTATAATAATAATACATTTTTTTTTTCAAGAAGTCGGCCGTCTCCCACCGAGGCATATAATAATTACAGTGGTCCCCCGCTTTTCGTAGTTCCCGGCAATCGTAAAATTCGCCAATCATGGGGGTATTTTCGTATAAACATGGACTCGCTTTTCATAGGTTGACTCGCGAGTCGTAGTTCATCCGGGACGCATACCCATGGCGTGAGCCGGGGCGGCAGCCAGTCTGGCATTGTTTACCAGTGAGCGAAGGTCCCCACACGTGCTCCAGCGAAATATTTCATAATATTCCATTTACATGTATTTTAGTGCTTGCAAGCACTAAATAAGCTACCATGGCTCCAAAGAAAGCTCCTAGTGCCAAGCCTGTGGTAAAGAAGGTGAGAAATACGATTGAATTAAGAAAAACCATCATTGAACAATATGAAAGTGGTACAAGTGTGGCCGAACTGTCCAGGATGTTAAAAGAAACCCACACAACCTTATGTTCCCATAGTGGCCAAGAAAAGGAAATAAAGGATGCTTTTGTTGCAAAGAGAGAAAACTATGCTGACAAAATGAGATCACCAGTACTCGAAGAGGTTGAGAAGTTATTAATGGTGTGGATAAATGAGAAAACAATTAGCAGGAGATACTCTTATGAATTCGATTATTTGTGAAAAGGGCTAGGCAGTTGCATAAAGATTTGGTAAAGAAATTGCCTGCAATTAGTGGTGAAGTGAGTGAATTTAAGGCCAGCAAAGGCGGTTTGAGAGATTAAGAACCGTACTGGCATACACAGTGTGGTAAGGCATGGTGAGGCTGCCAGTTCGGACCACAAGGTGGCTGAAAAATATGTGCATGAATTCCAGGAGTACATAGAGGCTGAAGGACTGAAACCTGAACAAGTGTTCAATTGTGACGAAACAGGCCCCCTTTTGGAAGAAAATGCCAAAGAGGACCTTCATTACACAAAGGAAAAGGCAATGCCGGACACAAGCCTATGAAAGGGCAGGCTGATGCTAATGTTCTGTGGGAATGCTAGTGGGGATTTCAAAGTGAAGCCATTACTAGTGTACCCTTCTGAAAATCCCCAGAGTGTTCAGGAAAAACAATGTTATGAAGAGTAAAAATTGTGTGTGTTTTGGAAATCTAATACATAGTAAGGCATGGGTCACGAGGGAAATTTTCGTTAGAGTGGTTCAAGAAGTGTTTGGCCCTAGTGTGAAGGAGTTCTCCTGGAAAAAAAAATTGGATCTCAAGTGCCCGTAGTAATGGACAATGCACCTGCTCATCCTCCAAACTTGGATGACCTATTTTTCGAGGAGTTTGGGTTCATCACAGTAAAGTTCTTGCCCCGAATACCACTCCTCTCCTCAAACCCATGGACCGCAGGTTATTGCAAAAATTTAAAAAACTTTACACAAAAGCAATGTTTCACAGGTGCTTGACTGTGACCACAGACACCACTTGGCCCTAAGGGAATTTTGGAGAGAACACTTCAGCATCCTCCACTGCATAACCCTTATAGGTATGGCTTGGGGGGGTGATACCAGGACTTTGAACTCTGCCTGGAGAAAATTGGGCCCAGATTGTGTCGACAAGAGGGGGTTTTGAAGGATTTGGGACTGACCCTAATGAGCCTATTGTCTGTTGTAAAATCAATTGTGGCACTGGGGAAATTCATGGGGTTGGATGTGAGTTTGGAGGATGTGGAAGAATTGGTGGAAGACCACAATGAAGAGTCAACCCCTGAGGAGCTGCAAGAGCTTCAGCAGGAAGAGCAACACATTGCAGCTCAGAATCTTGCTGCAGAGGAGGAGGGAGAGAGATGGAAGAAGGTGCCTTCTTCAGAATTAAAGAGATTTTTTCTATTTTGGGGTAAGATGGAAAGCTTTATGGAGAAAACACCACCCTTACAAGGTTGTTGCAAGCCAGGTTGGCAAAATGTACGTGACAAAGTGTTGGGCCATTTTAGGGAAGTGTTAAAGAGATGCCAGAAACAGAGCTCTCTCCACAGTTATTTTGTGAGGGCAGGACTCCAGTGACCTCAAGGTGGTCCTAGTGGCATTAAGAAACAGAGAAGAGAAGGCAACCCCAGAAAGCAAATGGTACCTGAGGTGTTGATGGAAGGGGATTCCCTTCCAAACTATAAACAATCCACTCTCTCTCCTCCTCCAGTCTCCCATACACTAAGAAGAATCTCCAATAAAGGTAAGTGTTATGCTGTTAATGTTTCATTCATCATTTCCCATTGTATTGTTTATGTACTACATGTATATTTTATGTTAAAAATTTTTTTGTTTTAATACTTCTGGGTGTCAGGAATGGATTAATTGTATTTACATTATTTCTTATGGGGAAAATTGATTCGTAAATCGTAAATTTCGTTTATAGTAAGGGCTCCAGGAACGGATTAATTACGAAAAACGAGGGACCACTGTATAATAAGAGACGGCTTCAAAAGACCATCACTAGATGGCAGTGTTTACCACAACAAAGAGGGAGCGGTTGTGGCCGCCTCCACCAGTTACATAATGAGATATTCATTCTAAAGTATATATCATGTTTCTATGTTATTTATATTGTTATGTCATATTAGATGAACTGTGATAGATAAATAAACCGTATAGATGATATTAGTGAAATTATTCATGAAGTATTTTGCCCTGTCTCCAGACAAATTCTCGTCCACCACCAACACTGCCTATACTACTACATGAATGACATATTTGGATCAACGGTTTGGACCCTGAACGTAAAGCCGTAGATCTATGGGACGGACCCTGAAAGGGTTACAAATTAAACATATTGAAAAAAAAAAAAAAAAGTATAAAGTAAGTGAAAATTTTAAACCTTGTAACCTACTGCCAAAATTAAAATAATTTTTTTATTCAAGGTTATTTTATAATAATTTATAATATAAGAAAAATATAAAAAATTCTCCAAAATGTTCTTCCGGGGTAAGTACTCTACAATGTTTATATGATGAAGATTATTACAAGCAAGGGAGAAGCACTAAACCCACAGGAGTCATATAATGCCAGTGGGGAGAATGGGAGGCAATCAGGTTCAGTCTCAGGGGAAGGGAATAGGTCCAATTCCCTGGATCAGGAGCCCATCAATGGTACAAAGGCACTTCCCTCAAGGGGGACATTAGAGGAAGGGAGGACAACTAGGTTCTGAAACATTCAAGGAGCCCCAGGTGATATTGATCTTAACAAGCAAACAATACCTGGCAACTGGGGGAGATCATTACTGAGCAGAAAATTCACATATGGATCTTGAAGGGACCTAGACAAATAAGTATTGGTGTGAATAAGGTGTAGCATATTCCAAATAACTTTTCCTAGCATTCCAACAGTAGACAATTACCTGATATTGCCATCTTCACAGCCAGTCAGCATCATTCGGTCTGTGATGGGGACAATGCAATGTATCTGGTCTGGATGACCAGGAAACTGGTCAATATGATAGCCAAATTCTCCCCATTTGAAGATAAACATTGTTCCTTCCCCAGATCCTACAACCAAACGCGAGTCATTTCGTACCAAGGAAAGAGACGTCATTTCACTTCCATACAATTCTGACTGAAAAAAGCATCAGAAAAAAGTACATAAATTTCCATAATGTACTTAATTATATTTCTGTGCAGCTATGAACACAGTATTTCAAATGTCAAAATATTTATATTTATTTAAAACTATGTAACTCCAAGCATTTCCTTTTGAAGGAGCCACTTCACTAATAAATATTTTTGTATTATGAAGACATTGCACTATGCCTCTAAGTCATCTCTGCACATTTTAAATAAATTCTTACCCATCCTAGACTCAAAGACTAATAATACATTTCAAAACATTATGCTACATGCTAGCTTATCAAAACAATCATGGTAAAAAGTATATAAAATAAAGTGACTATCACAATTCTGCATCTGGAATGGTGACATGCAAGGAAATAATTTGAGCTACTTGGTGTACTCTAATACTGTATAACACAAAAATCTACTTTATTATAAGCATAATGGGAAAAAACAGAGACTATATAATGTTTTAACCCGTAAACGGTCCAAACGTATATATACGTTTTTTCAACATTTGAAAGTATGTAAAAAAAGTAGATCTTTTTGTTTTTTTACATTTGAAAATGTGTAAAAAACTCTGATCTACTTTTTTTTTGTTATATTTGAAAATATGTAAAAAAAACGTAGATCTACTTTTGTAGCACTACACACGTGAACGTAGATCTGCTTGGACCATTTACGGGTTAAATTATGAAAAACTACTTACTGTAGTGGGTGTACAGACCCAAGGTAGAACTCACAATTTCTCTGATTATACATTATTACCAGCATTATATACAGCTTCCCTGACACTTCTAACTCAACACTATTCTGCCTCTTATTTTCTCTTGTGAAAGCCTCTTTCCATTTGTTATGGTAGGGCACACGTTGTCTGCCAACCTCGTTCAAAACATTAACATGAACGGCCAACATGGAGGAGGAGGTAGAGGTTGTGAGTGCTATGGGCTTCGACATCCAAGGTAATTTACACATGTCACTATGTATCATAATTATACTTATGTGTACCTGCACTTAAATAACCTTACTGATCAGATGTATGAGTGGTAAATAGGAGTGGAAACAAATTGTTTTTAGGTTTTGATGTGTTGTTAGTGTTCTAGCAAGGTAACATTTATGAAGGGATTCAGGAAAACTGGTTAGGAGGTAGGAGGTACAATGCCTGGGCTCTGAAGGAAGGGTGGATGGGTGAGGATGTTGCAATTTAAAGGGTCATCTGAACTGTAATGCTGATGCCTTTCCAGCAAGACAGTGATTGAATGAGTGACAGCAAAAGTGTTTTTCTCTATGGGTCATCCTACCTTGGTGGGAGATGGCAGGAGTGTTAAAAAAAAATAGGGAGGTGACAGTCACTATGGTTCATCAAACCCGACACAAAGTTTTTCTTCATACTTCAAAAAGTTTTATTCTGTATTTGGGTTATAAACTACATAGGCATCATACCACCAGCACTAAATTACATAGAATGAAACCTCATCTGGAGAGTACAGAACTAAGCACTTAACACTAAGACTGGAAAGTCACAACCTGTTTTCTAGGTGCTTTAAAAACCAAACTGTTAGAAAGCTATCAGCCAGGATGTATGGACAGAGAATCTCTTATAACAGACCCTAAGCAAAACAATACATCCTGATAAGGGCTGGCTTAAGCTCACCTCCTGCTAGGCAGAAAGATCCTTCTCATTACATACATACCCAGTTAAACTAAAATTCAAAATGCAACAGACAAAGCAACCTTATATTAATTATATACAGTATAAGCAAACACATGCAGTACAGATTCATCAGTGTCAGGGCTTAACCTTACACTGGTTCACTCTTGGATAGCACACAACTAAAAAAAAAAAAAGAGCACTGAAAGAGTAGATATACTTTCCAACCTCAGCTATTATTTTCCTCGAGCAAATTGACACATGAAAATAACCAAGGTAGACAAGCATGAGGCAGATAAGCATTTACTGTAACATCAACATATGATGCCAAACCTGTAAGACTGATACACAGTGGACCCTCGGGTAACAGTGGCATCGGCTAATGCCAAAATCAGATAGCGGCACATTTTTGCGGCAAAATATTGGCTCGGCTAACACCCAAGAACTCGATTAAGGCCATTAGTCCCAACATGTCCGCGCAGCATGAGCGGGCACGGCCACTCCATGACTCAGTGTACAGCCAGTGTGCCACTGTTTACAAGCCAGGGAGAGCGATACATTTAGTACGGTGGGCCCTCAACTAATAATGACATTGATTAACGATAAAAATCGGGTAATGATGCATTTTTGTGAAAAAATAATGGCTAGAGCAATGATGAAAAACTTGGGTATGGACATCTGTCCCGAATGCGTCCGCCTGTCCATCCAGCCTGAGCACCTCAGCTGCCCTGTCTTCAGCTAGTTTATAAGCCAGTGTGGACAGTTCCATGCATACATTTGATACATTTTGTTTTCCACTGTTTTTAGTGCTTGTAACTGCTAAATAAGCCACCATGGGCCCAAAGAAAGTTTCTAGTGCTTCTAGTGGTAAAAAGGGCGAGGTCTACTATTGAATTGAAAAAAAAAAAGATGATTGCAAAGCACAAAAGTGGAGTGCATGCCTCCGAGCTGGCCAGGTTGTATAACAAAGCCTAACAGAAAGGCAATCAAGGAAGCTGTTGTTGCGAAAGGTGCAAGTATGTTTTCAAAACAGAAATCGCAAATACTCGAAGATGTGGAGAGACTGTTGTTGGTGTGGATAAACGACAAATAATTACAGTGGTCCCTCAATTATCGTCCTTAATCCATTCCTGGAAGTGGGACTATTATCGAAATCGGCGATTTTCGAATCAATTTTCCCCATAAGAAATAATGTAAATCCAATTAATTCGTTCCAGACACCCAGAAGTATCAACAACAGTTTTTTTTTTACCTAAAAGATAGATTTACATGCACAAAAGAATGAACATTCAACATGACAGTTACCTTTATTGAAGGCTGTTGTTGATGAATGGAAGACAGGGAGGAGGAGAGAGGGAAGAGAGGTTATTGTTTGGAAGGGGAATCCCCCTCCATAAGGACTCTAGGTCACTTCAGGGGTCACTTCCCTAGCATAAATATAGATTTACATGCAGAAAAGAATGCCGAATAAATGTAAAGCACTAATAAAATGTATAAATGAACATTGGTAATAGGGATAGTTGATGAGTGGAACGGTCTGCCTAGTAGGGTGATCAAAGCTAAAACATTGGGTAGTTTCAAATTTAGGTTGGATAAATACAAGAGTGAGAGGGGTTGGATTTGAGTCCGACTTGCACCTGAGCTTATTGCTTGGGTAGCATTTGTTCTGTTAGTGGGTTGAATTTGTGAAGGACCAGCCTAGTATGGGCCAGCAGGCCTACTGCAGTGCTCCTCCTTTCTTATGTTCTTATTGAAGACTTGTTTGTGTGAGGGAGGGATGGTAAGTTTATTGTTGGAGAATATCAACTCTACGGCTTATTTATCTATCACAATTCAACTAATATGACATAATAAACAATATTAATAACATAGAAACATGGAATATACTCTAGAATGAATAAAATAAGTCATTACGTATGTCACAAGAGGTGTTTTGTGTTGTGTTGTTGTTGGGTATATAAGGGCCACTGAGAGTAAGCCATCCATAATGGTGGTGAAGCAGCAGCTGAGGCAGAGGTGTTTTCTGTAGCCCTATATAACTCCAACAACATTGGAGGAGTTGGTAGAATCGCTGAATCACTAAAGAAGGAACCCTCTACCACCATCACTACGACCTTCTACCCTATTACAACTGTTACCACCATCACTACTACCTTCTACCACCATCACTACCACCATCCACTATTGCAACTGCTTCCACTCTACCACCACCACTTTTGTATTTTTCTACAAACTTTTCCATAAATTATATGTGTTTTTCACATTCTTTACCAAAGGGGTGGCACTAGAAGCTTTCTTTGGAGCCAAGGTAGCTTATTTAGCACTTGCAAGCACTAAAATCAATGGAATATTATGAAATATTTCATAGGAGTAAGTGAGGGAACCGTCACTCACTGTTAAACAATGGCACACTGGCTGGGAAGACAGGTCCAGGCGGCTCAGAGCATGAGTACGCGTCCCAGACGCAGGACGATTAGTGAGTTAACAGACCATTTGCGAGCCAATGTTTAGACAAAATAATGGGACTATTTCCGAAATGGACGACTTTCAGGCCGGATGATTATTGAGGGACCACTGTATCAGGATATATTGTTTCTCAGTCAATAATATGTGAAAAGGCAAGGCAGTTGCATGCGAATCTCACTAAGAAAATGCCTGGAACTAGTGGTGCTGTTAGTGAATTTAAGGCCAGCAAGGGTTGGTTTGAGAGATTTAACCCCTTCAGGGTCCAAGGCCAAAATCTGAAGTGGTGCCCCAGTGTCCAAGAATTTAAAAAAAAAAAAAAATTATTTTTTCTTATGAAATGGTAGAGAATCTTTTTGTGAAGGTAATAAAATAAAAAAGTACTAAATTTGATGGAAAATTGATGAAATTATGCTCTCGCGAATTTTGATGTGTCAGCGATATTTACGAATCGGCGATTTTGCCGACTTTGACTCCCATTTTAGGCCAATTACATTATTCCAGTCAACCAAATTCTTAGCTATTTCACTAGTATTACTTCTATTCTATCGATTGAGCACAAGAAATCGCCAAGTCAACTGTTTCAACCACAAAATAAAGTGATCGGAAATTGGTAATTTGGCCAATTTAACACAAAGTTCAAAATATGGTCCAGAATAAACAATGTAGGTATTCCTGGCACTAAACTAACATTTTCTCTGTTCATTAGTTACGTTTTGAGGCTTTACAAATAAATTCCATTTTGATTTTTTATTCACATAATGAATTTTTATTCACACCAAAAAATAGAAGATTTACTGTTATGCAATATTGTAATAATTGTATAAATATCACCACCACATTTGTGAATGTGTATTAGACCCACCATCTGATGTGTATTAGATGTGTGAGGT